CGGCACACCTTCAAAGTATAGGGAGTGAGCTGGGCCGGACACACATTGTAAAAACGGCAAAGCTCCTCCACCAGAGGGTAGACTGGAAGGTCATAACCGATCAAGAACGGGTACTCATAGAAGGTGCAATATCCAGGCCGGTGCACATGGGCATAATCCGTCCCGGCCGGAACCATTTCCACGTGGTCCGGAATATGGTGCGTCTCTCGCAGATCATCTAAATGGGATCGTAGTAAAACGCTGTGCTCCCAGGGAAGATCAGTGCTTTTAGTTGGAAAATCCCTGCGAACGTGCGTCTCCTTCGGAAGGACATTGTCTACGCTGAGAGGAACAAGGGCCTTCTCCGCCTTTTCCCCTTCACCACCGGAAGATGGCGGAACCCTAGACCGGGCATTATCTTTGGCCTTTTTATTATTCTGTCCGCGTTTTGTCATGATTATGCTACTTGAGAAACGAAGCACTGACGATAGGAAGTGTGGTTTCAACAGAAGTGGGAGAGTCCCTCACGAAATAACGGTTACAGGAAAGGAAGGCAAAGGAGTGTATCAGAAAATACTTTTCAGCTGCTTGAAAGTGGAATCAGATCAAACCTCTCTCGTACTTATAAGGATAAGTTGCACAGGAATCAAAGAGTCATGATTCAAAACGTGCGCCGGAAACCAAAACGTCACTTCATCCTCTGAACCGCCTCGGGGGCAAATAGAACGATGATGTATACATGCAATGACATCATTCCAAAAAGGAAGCCACGCGTCAGCGGCTCAACAACGTTATATGTTTCACTTCATTCATATTGCCGCCCCTGGTCGAGGTCAAATTCTCCTAAGCCGAGGTTCGTATTTCTGCCCGTCGAAGACGCCCACCGAACGCGTCTCCAACGAGCGGAGGGACTAATTGTATAGGGTCAAATTTGACCCTCAGTATCCCTACGCCAGTGGGTACGCCCAATGAGTATACGCCGACCAACGTAGCGGGTACGACGTCGTTTAGAACTCAGCGTCCACACTAGGGAGACGTTACTTATCTTTGTAACTTTTTGATTCTTTCGAGGAAGGTCTCCTATTATATAAAGGAGACCTCCACATTGTAAAAGGGGGATCCGATCTAATACAACTCTCTCATTTTTCTGGCTTTCTCTCTCTATATCTCTACCTCTAACGAAAGTATCTTATTGGTAAACATTATCACTTTGCAATATCAGATCTACAACAATATTATCATCTTTGCATCTCTAGGCTCATTATATTTGATTACGGTTTACCCCTTTTCTATTTTTGATTGTTTTATCGCTTACAAAGTATATCATTAACTTTTGAGCCAAACACAAGCTTAAGTAAAAGCTTAAGGATACACTTTCCAAGTTAAAGTTAGATGTCACTTCTATTTTTCCCTTAAGTGATTGTCAACATTTAAAATTAGAGTTAGGCCTCTTGCATTAAATGCCACGACTACACATATGAGGGTAGGTGAACTGCATACCAAAAGGTGCATGTAAACATGAACCATTATATGTCAACAATCTATCGGATTGATTGTTTCTAAATCTACAGTGGCTCTCTAAGGGTGTTCAAATTTAAAAGAAGTGAAAAACAATTCCGATAAAGAATGTTCAATATGTGTTATATGCCTCTAAAGCGTAATATTTTATCAATGTATATAATGTAAATTTTCGACGAAGATTGGTTAATTGACCAACCTTGTAACCATGTGGCTTCACCACTGTAAATCTAGCATTCATATACAATTCAGATTATGAATTTGTTGACTCTACTTTACTGTAAAAAATATACTGTCAGACATTTCTATAACAATAATAAGAACTTGCATATGTCAGTGTTTATATTAATTCAATAGATACATGGCACATGTCTTCACAAACATGATTATCATCGAACATAGTTAATTACTATACATTCTCACCTTAATTGATTATTTAACTATAACAAATTAATATAGTGTGGTGTAAAAAATTGGTGCGGACCTATTTGGGACAATAATAAGAACTTGCATATATCAGTGTTTATATTAATTCAATAGATACATGACACATGTCTTCACAAACATGATTATCATCGAACATAGTTAATTACTATACATTCTCACCTTAATTGATTATTTAACTATAACAAATTAATATAGTGTGGTGGAAAAAATCGGTGCGGACCTATTTGGGACAATCCTCTATAATAATATATCATTATCGATAACAAGCAAAAAATTTCTAACCAATTTTCCTCTTTATAACATAAAAAATAATTAAAAAAAAAGTTTTTTTGATAGTTTCTATCTATAATGATCAAATAAAATTTAAATGTTAAATGCTGTAATGAAAATATAATAGCCAACCACTATAATAAGCCCCGGACAAATAAATTTATTATAAAAAGATTTAACTGTATAGAATGTGAGAGATCTCAGACATTTTTTTTTTCTAATGTAAGAAGGAAAGAATTATACTAGCCAAGTTAACAGTTCACTAACAGGACCAACTCATCATAGTATTCAACATTCGGCCCTAATTCGTTGAACAGTATATGTTAATAAGTAGTAACATCATGGGATGCATCGCTAAGATTGAACTAGCATGTCAAGTGGAGAATGACCACCTTTTTATTCTTTTGACTACAACTACATTCACTATTCAGTGTATCTATCTATATCTTATTTTAGTAAAATAGAATAATGCGATCAAGAGTTTGAATACCATTATATTCCAATGGGGTAAAATTTGCAGAAAATAATTCATATCTTTGCTTCTATTTTCATTTTATTAATCTGGTAATGAAAATACCAGGTATTTTCCCTTAAAGCCATCTTTAGTTAGTAATAAGAAATGGTCCAGCAATTAAATGTAATGGTATTGTAAGAGTGATGACTACGAGAACAGACTAATTAATTAATTAGTAGATAAGTTCAAATGGTGAAATAGGTCGTATGTCAAATTAGTACATAAACATTCATCATTTTTATAATGTGCAATTTGGGCAAGGTTCATGCATTTAAATTGGGTGAAATAGCGGTAGCCGACTCCTGAAAGAAAGTACTTAAGAGTCGGCGAACCAATTCAGTCGCAGTCACAACTTGGTGTTTCACTTCCAAACGCTCACAAACACGTTAGGATTTAAAATTTATGGGTTCGAGATTCTAATTCTTTTAAATTATTAAGTTTTAAATTAATAATTTTTACATATTCAAAGAATTTCTTAAAACAAATACTATATGATTTTAGCTGAAGTTATTAGATTTGTTCGAATTCATTGCTTTTACTCTCCCTCCGCCTTGCTTATGGATGCTCCTAATTAAAGCCTCTTCTATATGTCTTCTCCAAAAAGTCATTGCCAATTGGAAGAACCCAATAACTTTTATAACTTACAAAACTAATGCTATGTTTGACAATTAGTTTTGAGAAATAGGTGAGAAGGAGAGAAAATTTGGTTAGTCTAAAGATAAATTATTTTTTCCTCTACAAGTTTCTTAGTGTAACTGGTTTGTTTAGAAATATATGTACTCATATTTTTCACTACGATATGCATTTCGTGTCGTTGCTGGTCGGCCTACTTCTATTCCCCTTTTTTTGTCAACTAAGCAATAAAGGAAATTTTTTTTTCCATTTTCCCTTATCTTAGAAATTTTGACCTCTTTCATTAGATAGAAAAATTTCTTCGACAGTTCACTAAGAATAAATTATCACTTCTTTATACTAGTTCGAATTTGATACGATATCATCATTCAAACAATTGTTTTGGATATTTAAACTTCCGTGTGTTAAATTGTGTTTATTAAACTAGAAAGAACATAAGTTCTGCTACAATATGTTAAATCAGAGCAGTATAAGATATATATATATTTCGTCACAAAACATAGAATTTAAGTTCATGATAAATAATGATGCAATTAGTAAAAATATAAATAAGTTAATATATATAAGTTTAACTTGCATATACTGATAATATAAAAATTTCTAACGGTTTAAACTAAACCATTTACACCGCGTGGTGTATAAATATTTTACACGGTCAATATGTGTAAACTAAATCCAAACTAGAAGCACCGCGTTGGGAGGCGTTTTGTTTCTTTCAGAGTACGGTACAATTTTGACCTTTGACACAGTCCAATAGTCTTACTAGTCTTCAGTCTTTGTTCACTCTCTCTCTTCACTAAAATACTATGCTTAGGTTGCTTCCTCTCCAAGGCCCACAACCAACACACAAAATTTAAACTTCAGTTCCACTTGTACTTAGCATATGCGATTAAAGCCGGACTTAGAATTTAAAGTTTATAGGTTCTGATTTTATCATTAAACTCATAACTCATTTTAGTTATTGGGTTGACATAATAAAGTCAAATAAGTGGGTTTGGCTGATCTTGGACAGGTCAAGATGTGCTGAATCAATAAATGAATGGATCAATAATCCGCCCAAAAATTACTTAATTAAGCTGAGATGAGTTGGATCAAAATGAGCTAAAATTTGATCATAGCCCAACCCACCCAACCTTATCAAGCTTTAATTAATGTACGTGTTTCCTATGAATTATTTAATTATCAAATAACATTTTTTTCGTTTTCGATGGTTATATAACGTACCAAATAGAAAAAAATTATTTGTAAGATATTTTAATAAAATTACTTAGGTATTAATTTGTGTTAAAATCAGCCCAATTTTAAATGTGCTGGTCAAGATGGATTATATTTAACAAATGAACGGGTCAATAATCGGCTTAACTTTGGACGGAATGGACGGGTCAAATAAGTTTTGGCTCAAATTGCCTCCTCTAGGTTAAGACTTAAATATTTATATATATTTAATGAATTTTAATAGAAATATATAATCTAAGCAAAATTTACTGAGTTGTTCCGAACCGGTATCTACTTTTCTGGTTCCGCCTCTATCTACCACTTGGCACTCAAATACTCCCTTTTTCCAACGTGCTCCACTCCCCCTTCCCTATTTTAATATCTTTCCATTCAATTACTTGAGTAACTATCTCACTTCTTTCTCCTTCCCACGCAACTTCGCTTACTTCCCCCTTTATATATCCCACACACTTTCTTCTCCACACTCATTCACTCACAAAATCTTCTCTACCTACAACATATTCAGAATTCATTCAAAATCAAGATTCAATCACATAATAATATTGCTATGGCACTTGAAGCTTTGAATTCTCCAACTACAACAACTCCACCAACTTTCCAATTCGAGAACAACGGCCAACTTCGATACCTTGAAAATTGGACTAAAGGTAAAAGATCAAAAAGGCCTCGTAGTATGGACCAACAGGCTACTGAAGAAGAGTATTTGGCTCTTTGTTTGATTATGCTAGCGCGTAGCGACGGTTCTTCTAATCAGGAACAGTCTCTACCACCACCTCCAGCACCAGTGATGAAAATACACGCGCTGCCGGAGGAGAAGATGGTGTACAAGTGTTCAGTTTGTGGTAAGGGTTTTGGATCTTATCAAGCTTTAGGAGGACACAAAGCTAGTCACCGGAAGCTCGTCGCCGGCGGCGGAGGAGGAGATGACCAGTCCACTACCTCCACTACCACTAACGCGACAGGAACTACTAGCTCTGTTAACGGAACCGGAAAGACTCACGAGTGTTCAATTTGCCACAAATGTTTTCCTACTGGACAGGCTTTGGGCGGACACAAAAGGTGTCACTACGACGGCGGTAACAGTAACGGTAGCGTTAGCGTTGGGGTGACGTCATCAGAGGGTGTAGGGTCCACTGTGAGTCACCGTGATTTTGACTTGAACATTCCGGCGTTGCCGGAATTCTGGCCGGGATTTGGTTCCGGCGAGGATGAAGTGGAGAGTCCTCATCCGGCGAAGAAATCGCGGCTATCTCTGCCTCCAAAATTTGAATTATTCCGGGAATAGTAAGACTTTTGATTTGGTTACTTGAAGATTACTTCTAGGAGTCAGGAATTTTGTAGACAATTATTACTATTTTTCTTTAGATTCTTTCTTTTCTTATTGGGTGGGTGAAATTTTTTACTTGTTGTCTGTAAATAGACCTAGTTACAGCGAATATTCAATTGATTGATTTAATTTTTGGTGGAATTGCTTTGGCCGCGCTATTTTTCTTTTGCACTATGGTTTCTCTGATTTAATTTTTGCTAATCAAACTAAATTAAGTAGGCAGCATCATGTTTCTAAAAGGAGTTGTAATTACTACACAATTAGTGCTATTCAACTGAGTTTCTACTCTTTCCTTAACTATTCAACTTTTTCATGCTCTCTTTCTCTTATCCTGTTTATGTTCTTATTTGACTTCTACTCTGAGATTTTAGAATTAGTTAAGGAAATAAATTTAAATACGCCGTATGTGTAAATGCCGTTTAAAAAAATATCATTTGAGAACTTGTATAGAGAAGAATTGGGTTCAAGCAAAAAGGGAAAGAAAAGGTAAACGCTTTTCGCATTAGAAAGATTGTAAAGATCGAAGTTTCGCTGTCAATGCCATATTACATGTCACGACCATTTGGAACGATTACGCGTTTGCTTTACAATTACGAGTGCTGTTACGCGGCGCCTTTCTGAGATTCCTTAGAAGGGCGACGTAAGGCTAGGCAACTGATGTCAGTGCAGTTGCTGTCCGTCAACTGAGGTCCCCTCCGTACGCTAGACGAGATTGTCAGTGCCGTACGGGAAAACCAATGTCAAGATCAATTGAGAGAACAGAAATGAGAATTCAGAATGAAAGAAAGCTTGATTGCATTAATGAAAGCTATTACAGAAAAGCAACGCGGTGTCGAGGGGGAGAGACACCAGTACAGAGAATTGCTTGCTTGCTAGAAAGTTTTGATTGCTTGATCCCCCCTAATAGTACTTAAAAAAAATAATCCAAAGTTACAAGACTAGACTTGACTAAGCTAGAGAAACATAATAGAAGTACGTGAAATAAAACTACTCTATATTTACAATGAAAATGACTTAGTTTTCTATAAGGCAGCAGCAGGTCCGTTGTCAGCATCAGTGTCTTTGGCATCACGGTCTGCACGCGCGGCGTTGTCTGCGCGCGCGGCGCTGTTGGCTTCTGCCTGCGGCTTGGCGCTCGCGAGGGATATCGGTGGGGCGACAGAGGCACCTGCGCGCTTGTCACTTGGCGCGGCCAAGACCACGGGGCCGTCCGTGGCGCTAGGCATTGGGAGGTTTGCTAGGACGCCATGGGGCGCGCCCAAGGGGTCATGGGGCATGGCTGGAAAGCCGCACATATACGCGAACGCGATGAAGGGTGTGCTAATACTATGCGAACGCGAGGACGAGTTCGCGAACGCAGTGAAGGAATTACTGGGGGTCCTGAAATTGGCCTACGCGATCGCGATGATGGGGACACGAACGCGAAGGAGACCAACCTGAAGCTATGCGAACGCGGGGGAACTAATGCGAACGAGATAAAGAAAATCCCTGTGTAAAAATTGCAGAAAATCTGATACCATCCTAAGTCCAAAACCACCCCGAACACCTCCGAAAACACTCCCGAGCCCTCGGGGCTCCTAACCAAACCCACACAGTAACTCAACAACATCCTATGAACTTAACCGTGCGATCAAATCGCCAAAATAACATCAAAATCAATGAATCAAACCTCAAAATCATCATTTTTCATCCTAACTTCATAAACTTCAATTTTTAGATATTTAGGTCCGAAACACGTCAAATGACGTCCGATTTCGACCAAACTTAACAGAAAGCGCTTAACACATATATAAGACTTGTTCCGGGCGTCGCAACCAAAATACGAGCCCGATACCATAGTCTTTTAATCAGTTTTCATTTCCATTTTCCTTAATAATTTCAGAAAAATAATTTCACAGAAAAATTCTTTTCTCGGGCTCTAGACCTCGGATTTCGACTCCGGGCACATGCCCGAGTCCCATATTTTTCTACGGACCCTTCGGGACCGTCAAATTACGGGTCCGGGTCCGTTTACCAAAAATGTTGACCGAAGTCAACTTTAATCATTTTAAAGCTACATTTTGAAATTTTTCACAGAATTTAACATATAATCTTTCCGGTTACGCGCCCGGACTGCGCACACAAATCGAGACAAGTAAAAAAAATGAGGTTTTCACTTATTTTTTTGAACATGAAGAAATAAAGAAGCCATTGCAATTGCCGGAAAGACTAGGCCTAGGCCTCGGAAGCGCGGAATGAATGAGGAAACGGGTGATGACCCTTTGGGTTGTCACACATATATATATATATATATATATATATATATATATATATATATATATATATATATATATATATATATATACGGGATTTTTCAATGAATGTTTTTGGTTGATACAAAATATAGGGGAATTGGTATATAAAATAAGCTTATATAGATTGTCAAATCAATCAAACAACCAAATTAGAGAATATAGTAGAATCTTTTCTTTGGCTTCGGTGAGTCACATATCAAACAATTTTTGAAAATATTCTTAATCGATTTTGTGTTTATTGATTAAACCTCAATTATATCATCAAAAGCTACATAATTATCAAACACTCACCAAACTAATTTATAATATTCCTACTAATTCTGCAGTGACTATGAATCTTTTGTCAAATAAAATATATAAAAATAGTAATTTTTGTCAAATTTACTTGAAAATGGGGCTAACGTTGCTATTTAATTTACCAACGGTTAGCTGCTAGTGCGTTAGTGGGTCAACAAATAATTATTTCCAGGAAACCAAGGCCCTTTTTCTTTCTCTCCTACTGACGTTTTTTCTGGGGAAAATGACATCGTATATCCACTCTTAAAATAATAATCAAAAATATATTTATATTTTTGTATGTATAAGTTCTACATGATATATACAAAATTATACATACTTTATATATTTTTTCAGCTACTGAATGTAAACAATTTCCGGCGCATGCTAAAAATGATAATACCTCTTTTTTCTTCTGTCAAAAAAAAATTGTTATTCTTCTTTTTCCTTGTCATGATATTATACCGTTAACATATCATAATCAAAATGAATCAACTTACTTCATGAGTGAAGTCAACATGAGAATTGGTTAAAAGCACCTCTACAAAAAAAAAAAGTTTATTAGAAAAAGAGTAACTCTCTTAACATACCCAAGGTACTTTTCCCCCACAATAAATAAAAAAAAAAAATAGAATTAGCACTGGATTAAGATGTTTAGAACATATTTGAATTGAGATTTGGTTGGGAATAACATATTCGAGTCCAACGGTTATGTAGATAATTCTTTATACCTTTCTCCATATTATAATGTCAAAGCTAACACCGTGACACTTATGGCCTTACCCTTAAAATTTTAAATAGTTTGCTAATCCTCATAGTTAAGTTTCAATTAAAAAGTTTGAAACACAACTTATTATCAAGTGAGAAGTTCGAATTAGTATCATAATGTCTGAATCAGTTTGCACACAATTTGACTATAATATATTAATTTTCATCAATCTGCCTACCAAACTTTAGACCGATAAGATAAAGTCAACTAACTATTTTTTTTGTCTTTGATAATATTTAGTAGGCATTTGGACATAAAAATTATAATTTTTGAAAAAAAAATAGTATTTGGAGTTAAGTTAAAAAAAATAGTATTTGGAATTTGAAATTATATTTGGACATGCATTTCACTTGAAAAAAATGTTAAAGTTTTGTGATAGGGGAAAAAAGTTTTTCTAAAAATTTTGAAAAAGTATATAAAAAAAAAATCATTTTCGAAACATTTTCAAAACTTAAAAAATTTAATGGACACATACTTTTTTTTAAAAAAATTCTAAAAAAAAAAAAAGAAATTTTTTTTAATGGACAAATGGGTTACTCATTCCCCTCTAAAAGAGAAAAGGTCTTTTATCTTATGAAAGGCAAAGTAAAGAGGGTAAAAATTGAAATTGGTTCCCTCTCAAATCTAAACGACTACGTTTTACAATAAATTTTACCACAACAAAAGGGTGTGGTCTTTTACAGAATCTAGACGTTGTTGTCGTTATTTGATCCAACATAGTCCAACGTTACACTGCTATCAGTGTTCAGTTTCCAGTACTTTGTTACACACTCTTTTTTTGATAACTTCACCCACTACTCTCCTCCCTTCCCTTCCATTGTTGTCTCTATTTTTCCTTGTACTACTCTGTGTCATTATTTTCTTCTTGTTTTTACTTTATAATATAATGGATGCTTCTGAAATCTCTAGTGCCAATGCTGGTGTGAATTTGTTCAGTTCTTGTACTGAAATGGAGGAGAAGGGTTGTGTTGTTAGGGCAGAAATTGACACTTCTGCTCCATTTGAGTCTGTGAAAGAGGCTGCTACTCGATTTGGTGGAATTGGGTTTTGGAAACCCACTCTTCACAAGTCATTTGAGGTCTCTTCTTTTTGTTTTCGTATCCACAATGCACAGTTTTTATCCTTAAATTTGTGATTATTTTACCCTTTCGTATCCGTTTTTATGCTTATTGTTTAACGGAAAAAGTAGATTATTTGGGCAATACTGTAATTTAGTCTTATGGGAAAACATTTCTGAAGTTCTTGCACAACCAATGTTTGCATATTTCGTGAATCTTGTAAGTTGTATGTGGCACTCCTACTACTTTGCCGCAGTGGGTGCTAAATTTGTGTTTGTGTGTATGTGAATTTAACTTATATACACTGACAATCAAAAAGTTTTTGCACTATCCGTGTGCTTTAACCCGTTGTGTGAAGGTAATCTTCTATTAACTACTCTATTACATTGTTAATTGCATGGAAACCAAAGAGGTAAAATATGGCCGAGGGTGGTCAACTGAACACCCTTCACCGAAAAATTATACTATGTATAGGGTAAAATATTACTTGTTATTAATTAAAAAATAGACTTTCAACACCCTCGCATAGCCCACCAGCAAAGGGTGTTTAAAATTTGAATACCCTTGTTGAATTTCCTGGCTTCGCCACTGGCCATTAGAGGTGTAGTAGCCTTCTGCTTTAGGTTTGGGATGATTCAGAACAATGTCATTAGGTAATGCCACTTAGAATGAAACCTTAGCATATACTTGTGGAACTGCTACAATAGCATAATCGTTTGTCCCAATTTTTTGGCTAAATTCTAAGAAGCAAATTCTTCAAATGCCAACATA